GCAAAAAGACGCAATAATTTTAGGTTCAAATCGCATTATACAATTGTTATACCCAAATTTGTCTTTGGCAATCATTTGTTTTTAATGGGTCGTGATAAATCACAAAATACAGAAAATATCCAGAAAAAACATTTGCAAAAGAAAATTTAGTTTTGATTTTCAATTCAGTCTTTTCGAATATACCAAAGAGAAGATAACAAATATGATAAATTCGACCATTAGAATTCAATCCCCTCCTTTTATTTAAGTTAATATGAAGATTGCGTTTAAGCATGAAACAGACTGTCGCTCTAGGTGTTGACCTCAATGTCCATTTTTATATTTACATGTATGTAACAATTTTAAATACTGTTAAGAAGTGAATAAAAGCTACAAAACTATGTTAGTCTGGGCATCTCTAGAACAAAACAGTCTCAATAAAAACCCTCTTTTTGTAATGTAGAATACAAAAATCGTCCTTGAAAGCGAACCAAATTTTATGCAAAAAATTGTCCCAAGGTAATTGCAATCCGAGATAAAAACGAAACCACAGAACATACCATCGAAAAGATCATTACTGTGTAACCACTGTCTGTCTTTATAGTGACGAATGCACCAGATGTCTAGGGAGTTCATTAACTTTCACTTTGCCAAGCAAAGTAGATCAAATTTTGTGCGAATTCGATATACTGCCTTCTTCAGTTTCCTCACTCCCCCATCTATATTCTCAATCAGTTATGCGAACAATCAAGATCAGATAATATGTACCCTTATCCTTTCAAATTTGGTGCGTTATGCCACCCCCACCTTTAGTTTTGGCTATTATATATCCTTCAAACCTGATTTTAGAAGGTATGTTGGCTTCTTCCTTATATAACTTACATTACATGTTATAAATGCACTTTTTGTCACACCTTTATTTCGTAAGGGCCCAACTCTGTTAAAAAAAAGTTTCGAAGAGTAGTTTTATTATTAATGTAATGCTTAAAAATCCATTGGACCAATTTCATTAACCCTTTTAGATAAGGTTCACTGTGTCTACGTAATCAAACTTACTGGACCGTCTCCTCTTGGGTCTTAGATCTGTACTAATTATTATTGGGGAGCTTGGAAGAGTCATGTAGAGCTTTGTATATAGGTTAGAAGACTGAAAATTCAAGGAAGAAGCGAAACCAACGACAGAATAAATAAAATCAGAATACAGAGCATCGTGCTGGTATTTGGGAAATTTGCTGGTGTTACTTGATCTCCAACAAATACCATTGGAAAATACTGCTTCGGAAAATCAATTCGTATAAAATATTGATAAATATGTAATGAAAATATTTAAACAAAGTAAAATAAAATTAAAATAATATAGAATAAAATAGTTTAATAAAAAAAATTATGGGTTTTAATTAAAACTAAAAGTCAGTATAAAATAAAGACATGATTACTGAACAAGTCTTTATTATGTTTAAGACCTGATACGTCTATATGAATGGTACCTTTCGTCTGTTAGATTTTATGATAGTCGCATGTGTCTAAGCAAAATAGATGAAGTGTTACAGTTTTCAGGCATGAACAACTTCCAGGATGCACATGTCCATTATGAAATAGAAATTATAAATTAATATATTATAGTTATTAAGCGTAGCCTAAACTGATACAAAATCACAAGATCAAGACACCCCATACTACTAAATTGTCGAGCGCAGCGGTTTCTAACCTTTTCTTCTCCAGTGCTCTATTCCATATATTTACACGGGTTTGTGACATCTATATCAGAAATGTATTGGTAAATGAGGCAAAGTTAATGCAACAGAGTTAATGCCACTTGTTTATACTTCTATTGCGTTATATCAGCGCTAATCACTGGGAGTAAAATGTGGCGAGAACAGACAAGCAGTGATCACCGGGTCAGATCATATTCCGGATTTTAGCTTGAAGTTATTATACTATACAGATACGACAATTGCAGCTAATTTTCTTTTTTTTTAAATAGGTCAAAAATGTAAATATATAAGCAAAAAGATATACAAATACGTATATAAAAGGATTCAAAGGATTAAATCATCTTACTGCCTTGTTAGAATTACAGCTCCGCCACTTAACTCCGAACACTTACTAACCCCATTTTGAATCATTTTTATTGGGACAAGATGTTTAACCATTGCTTTATAGCGAACGTTCTTTTATTGTCCTTTCTGTAATTGCTACTGAGATTAAATTATAACATAAAGATGATTATATGGTACTGATTTTAAAAATTAGAGCAAACTAAGTTTGGATGATTTCATTTGAAACAAGAAGTTTCCTCTATTTTGGTTGAAAAAGTTATGGTACCAGAGGTCGACGTTCAAAATAAAACATCAGGATTTAGAATGCAGATTTCCTAAGCAGGTAAGTGGACGGTTGGCATAAACATTCTTTCCGTTTCAATTCATCTTACCCGTGAGATTTTGTACCATACTAAGCCAAGCTTAGTTAATATTGAAATTGTAAGTTTATCAGGTAACGAGAAGCTACTTCAGTATGATGTCGCTATAAACACAAGATCAAAGCGTTAAAAATGTTAATCCTTATGCTTAAGAACTGTCAATGTAAAATTGCGTCCCCTTTGATCATTGCCAAGTTATGTGACACTTAATGTTATCATTTAATAAATGGCCTCTTATCGTGATCAGTAGTTTCATTGATAGAACACTGAATTGCTAACAACAAGGTTTAAGGATGTGTTACAATCGAATAGTTCAGACGCATAATCACTGATTTGGGTTTGTCTAGTGCCTAGGATAGTTGCGTATTTCCAACCGCCATCACGTATTTGGTTTCAAATTAATGTAAAATGTTACAATATTGATTTTCATTGACGAGTTTTTACAAGTATCGATAAACGCTTAGTAAATGAGAACAAGTGCATGACAACGTTATTGATTTGTTTTGTATTAGTAAAGATTATGAAACTGACATTATATATATATATATATATATATATATATAGACAGATATAGCATTACTGTATGCTAAATTTATGGATAAAAATGCTCAATATTGGAGATAAAACGTATGGCAATATAAAAGTGTGTACTGATGTCAATTTCAAGTGGTGACAGTCTGTTTCACGCGTCAACGCAATCGTCAAGCCTTGAAGTTTGTTTTTGAATTTTGCGTTGAAGCTTGAATCAAATTGTCATCTACTTTCATAGGAGAATAAAAACTCAAGAAATAAGTTTAATCACAGAAAATAGCTAGTTTCTTATCCAATAACTTATTTTATATGCTAACTACATTTAAAATAATGGATCACCATCACTTCTTGTTTTTTGTTTCTCTAAGTAACTTTTGATTCATTAGCAACCATTTTTATCATTGTTCTGTCACTCATCGAAAAAATTAGTTAAGTAGCTTACTATCTGTTTGCTTTTGATGCCTTTATTACGTTATGAGTATCAAATTCACTGAACCTTCTTTCATCATTATTTGCCCTAGAAATTTCAACTGTCTCTTTGTAATTATAGATTTCCTTGTAGTTTCTATTTTTCTTACATAACTCACATTCTGACGACTATGTATTAGTTAATAGTCCTTTCTTCTTACTTTCCATTACTATATTTTCTATGATTTCTTTCAGTTTCCTTTCTTAGATCTTTGTCAAAACAGTGTCATCCACTTATCCTATGATGTTAAGATTATTGCTACCCATAAATTCATGGAGATAAGTATTTTCATTCCTTTACTTTTCACGTCCAGTGTCCTTTCAAGTGAAGTTCGGATAGAAACTTGGAAGTATGCAGTTTTCATTCCTTCGTCTTTTGTAGTGTTCTTCCTGGGAAAGGTCAAAGGGAAGCCTTTGATACTGTTTTCCTTCCTTTACTTGTCACAACCAGTTTACTTTTGGAAACCTTTACTTGATCCATGTAAGCATAAGGATTTCATGTCTATACTTGTTATGGTCTGTGTTATTTCAAAAGAAGGTCGAAAGGAAACCTTTATTTGATTTATGGAGGTATTCATATCCAGTTACTTTACTTGTCCTATCTAGTGTCCTTTCTAGGGAATGTCGAACGTGGCCATTTATTTGATCTTTCCATTTTTTTCATTCCTTGATTTGTCACACCAATTATCCATTTCTAGGAAAGCTAAACAGAAAAACTGATGCTTTCGTTCTTATACTCGTCCAGTTTATATCCTTTCTAGGAAAGATAGAAGGTAAACTTATATTTGATCCACGAGGTAGACAGTTTCAAAAACTCCACTTGACATATACAATGTCTTTTCTAGGGAAAATCAAAAGGAAATCTTCATTTGATTAGTGGAATTTTAATTGTATGTATATGTCATGCCCACTGTCCATTCTACAAAATTTTCATTTATTGTTCTTTTTCGATGTCCTTTCTAGGGAAGGTCGAAGGAAATTTTATTTAGTGAATGTGAATATTCAGTTTGAATCGTTTTTCTTATATATTTCTTTAGTTATCATACACAGTCTCCTTCCGAGAAAAAAATCAAAGGGAAACCTTTATTCAAAGCATGCAGATATGATACTTCTATTCATTTACTTACCAATAACATCTGTCCATTGTATGAGAGATTGTAAGGAAAACATTTTGGTTAAATGCTTGCAGTTTACATTGCTATACTTGTCATGTCCAATATCATTTCTAAGGAAGACGCAATCGAAACTTTTATTTGATCCCTGATGGCATGCAGTTTTCATTCCTTTACTTGTTACTCCAGTATCCTTTCTTGGGAATGTCCAAATGAAGCCTTTACTTGATCCATTTTATGAAAGCTATTTTCATTATTATCTTTGTGCCAGGTGTTTTCTCTATATAAGGTTGAGTAGAAGCATATATTTGATCAACTTTAGAACACTATGTTCATTTTTATACCTGTCACCTCTAAAGTCCTTCCTGTTGAATTACTAGCTCATAACCACCATTCTTGCGATTCCTACTTGCGTCTATTTATATTTATACATAACCGAAACTTGAACTTTCCCAGTACTTTTATCCATAATGTTTTTAATGACATTGCAGAATGTGAAAGACATCCGAGGAAGGAAGAAACAGTTTTAAATTTCCTACTTCTCCAAACATTATTTTGTGGATACAGGTGAGTATCTATAGAATAACTTTTGTAGCAGTAAGATATATATATATATATATATATGTGTGTGTGTGTGTGTGTGTGTGTGTGTGTGTGTGTGTGCGTATAAGTATGTCTTTTATCATAATTATATATATATATATATATATATATATATATACTATTCCATAACAAAATAACGAAGTCGGAAATTTTGGATAATATATATATATATATATATATATATATATATATATATAGTTGGGAAAACAATTATGCGTACAAATACAAATTTTTAATTTATTGTATTTGCAACTAATGAATGAACATACTTTCATATAATTATCTGTTGAGGCGCACCCACCTTCTGAGGAGAATGGACTGATCTCTCTACAATAATAGGTCAGTGCTAGAGAGATCAGGGGAGTTAAGGTGATCACGAGATCATTGAACTTCCGTCTCTCGACCGGAAGATACTTTAGACTCTTGCTAATTGTTATTACTAATCCCTCTGTTGTTAAATACCTCTTCAAATATACTAGTATTTTTCTCTACATCTGTGTTTGTCTTTATTTGAATACACACACGCGGGAACACTCCCAACATCCTAACAGTGGCGACGAGGCTTCGAACGGAAAAAAAAACTTACGTTGAAAAATAAATATCGCAACAGCGAAAGAAACGATTTCATCACAGGAAAATTTAAAAGAGTTCAAGCATTTTTTCATAGCAAAGGATTGAAAAGTTTATCGACAAAAAGAAAAACTGTAAGTTAGACATTAACTTATTGATTAAATTGGAATCTATAATAACCAATTTTTTGTGCTAAAAAAAAAAAAATTTTGTCGTGCCAGAGAATTTGATTCATTTTTTGGCCCCCCTTAGAGAAAAAAAAACACATAATTTCGCTTTTTTTTTTCTACAAATACATAATCATGGAGCAATTTCAATCATCTATGCTGGAACTCATTAAGTATCAGATGCAAAGACAACAAGAGAGTGAAGAACGTTTTCAGAAAGTAATTGAAGAAAATGCAAAACGATTTCTGGCGCTACACGAAAAACAAAATAAAATACAAGAAGAAAATGAAATGAAACAGTTTGCAATGACTGAACTTATACATAAAGCTATACTGTCTAAGCAGAAAGACTCGGATGAAAGTACTTTTTCTCAAAACACAATATGGTCGACGATCGAAAGTTTTACCTATAACCCAGAAGAGGAAGTGACTTTCGAAAGATATTATCATAGATATCAGGACTTTTATTAAGTCGATTGCCAAACATGTACAGATGAGAAAAAGATAAGATTGTTACTACGGAAACTGGGAACGGCAGAACATAATAAATTTACGGATTTATATTACCCAAAAAGACAAGAGACTTAAAATTCGACGAAGCGATTGAATTACTAAAGGAGCTCTTCAACCCCAGATTATCATTATATCACAAAAGGTGGAAATGCCTTAATATTCAAAAAAGCGAGCAGAAAGACTACACGACTTTCCCGTCAATCGTAAATAAGACGTGTGACGATTTTCGCTTGTCCGAATAATCAATTTCAAGTGTCTAATATTCGTGCTAGGCTTAGGGTCTAAAAAAGATAGCGAAATGCGAAGACGCATTTTAGCAAAACTAGAAAATGACCAAAACATGACACTACAAAAGCTAGCCGAGTACTGTCAGCAATGTGTAAGCATTAAGCAAGATTCAGAAAAAATAGAAGAAATTGCTATCGCAAATGTGAAGAAAATAAATAGGAAGACTCGTTTCCGTTCTCCATCGCCTGAACGGAAGTGGTATCCTACTAAAAGATTGAACAGAGACTATAAAAAAAAAAACTCCCTCCGAGTGCATGTTACGGATGCGGCTAGTGGCACTGGTACAATGACTGTCCATATAAAAATAAAGCTTGCAGAAATTGCAAGAAAGTAGGACATAAGATGTCCAAGTGTAGAAAATTAAGCAGAAGTCGAGTAAAAGTTACTAAGTCAGATGAAGATCAAGACCTGAATATTCGAAAATACCTACATGTAAAAATGTACAACAAGAAGGTTAGAATGCAACTGGATTCAGGATCTAACATTTCGATTATTAACACACAAACATGGAAAAATCTAGGAAAGCCAACTCTGCTAAAGTCCAACAAAATAGCCAGGACGGTAACTGGAAAAAAGATCAATTTTGAAGGTGAAATATGGGTGATTATAACCTTCAACAACAAGACTATAAAAATGAAAATATTTGTAATGAAAAATACGAACAACCTGTTTGGGACTGACGCAATCACTAAGTTCAATCTATGGGACGTGCCCATTAGTGCTTTTTGTAACAACATTAGTGAAAGCAAAGACAACATAAAAAATTTACAAACAGAATTGAAAATAGCATTCCCCGAAGTTTTCGCTGAAGGACTTGGACGTTGCACGGAAGCATCAGCAAAAATACAGCTGAAGAAAAATATTCAACCAATTTTTTTAAAAAAAGCGTAGCATACCTTTTGCCGCATTAGAAAAAATTGACCAAGAACTCGAAAGACTAACGAGAATTGGTGTGATCTCGAAAACGGAATACAGTGACTGGGCAGTTCCGGCTGTCTACGTAAAGAAGTCGGGCGTAATTCGCGTCTGCGCCGATTTTTCAACCGGGTTAAACGACGCAATAGAAGAGTATCACTATCCACTACCAAGTCCGAAGAAGTGTTCGCAAAGTTAAATGGTGGAAAAATCTTTTCGAAAATAGATCTTAGCGAGGCATACTTGCAAGTACCCATGGATAACGAAAGCGCAAAGTTGCTATGCATTAACACGCATAAAGGTTTGTTCAGATACGAACGTTTACCGTTCGGGGTGAAGACAGCACTCGCAATATTCCAGAAAATAATGGATACTATGTTATCCGGGTTAGACTACACGATAGCATATCTCGACGATATACTCGTGAAAAGTGAATCGGTGGATGAACACAAACACCATTTACGCAAAGTTTTCGAAAGGTTAAGAAGCTATGGATTTAGAGTGAAAGAAAATATATGCGATTTTCTCCTGGAGGAGATCAAGTATCTGGGACATATAGTGAATAAAGAAGGGAAAAAGCCAGATAAAAATCGAGCATCAGCAATAAAAGATGGCATATAAGCCAAAGGATATTAAATCCCTACAAAGTTTTTTAGGCTTGGTGTCATATTACCAGGATTTTATCCTAGACCTCCACATTCTACGAGCTCCACTTAACGATCTACTAAAAAAAGAAAAACCCTGGATATGGACAAAAGAATGCGAGCAAGCATTTAAGGATATAAAAGAAAAATTGACATCAGATTTATTTCTGGTCCATTTTGATCCAAAGGTAGATATCATCGTGGCGAGCGATGCCAGTACACAAGGCGTAGGTGAATGCATATTGCACAAGTGGAAGGATAGTAAAGTTCGACCGATCGCTCATGCAAGCAGATCGCTACTACCTGCTGAACGAAATTATTCACAAATTGAAAAAGAGGCATTGGCGATTATCTTCGCTGTAACAAAATTCCATAGATACATACATGGACGGTATTTTACGCTACAGACAGACCACGAGCCTCTGGTAACGATATTCGGTTCAAAAACGGGTCTGCCAACATACACCGCAAATAGATTGCTTAGGTGGGGAACAATTTTGCTAAATTATAACTTTAGAATACAATATTTGTCCACCCACAAAATTGGTCACGCGGATGGTTTATCAAGACTCATTCCGAAAGCAACAGAACCATTAGAGGATACGGTAATCGCATCCTTCAGAGCAGACGACGAGGTTGAAGAAAATTTGGCGAACGCAATTCGAGAATTACCAGTATCGCTTAAGGACATAAAAAAAGAGGCAGAAAAGGACAAATATATAATGGAAATAAAAGATAAGCCAGCTAAAAAAGACGAAAAAATTCAAGAGACATCCTCTCTGTGTGATAATGTACTAATATACAGTGAAAGGGTAGTAACCCCTAGTACACTCCAAAAAAGAATATTGAAAGATTTTCATGCTGGTCACCCGGGCATAAATAGAATGAAGAGCCTCATGAGAGCATACGTCTACTGGCCAGGTATGGACAACGACATCGCGTCTATGGTCGGCAGATGTAAAGGCTGCATTTTGGCATCAAAATCACCACAAATTCTACAAAAGCCATGGCCAAAAACCGACAGGCCATGGTCAAGGATTCATATTGATTTTGCGGGTCCAATTGACGGGTGGCATTATTTGGTCGTAGTTGACAGCTTTAGTAAATGGCCCGAAGTTTTCCAAATGAAGAGGCCAATATCACAAAATACAATAAATAAATTGCATGAATTATTTCCAAGGTTTGGAGTGGTAGATACTGTGGTTAGTGACAACGATACTCAATTCACGAGCAAAGAATTCGCAGAATTCTGCCAGAATTTTCAAGTGGATCACGTGAGGATTCCTCCGTATCACCCACGCAGCAACGGAGTAGCCGAAAGGTTTGTCGATACGCTAAAAGGGGCTCTTAGAAAAGCAACAGGTACCCCGACTAGAAAGGCGTTACAGCTATTCCTGAAAGTATACCGCATTACTCCGAATAAATATGCCCCATCAAGCCTATCACCTGCGGAGCTAATGTTTGCAAGGAAGATCAGATCTGCATTTGATAAATTGATACCTGAAAATAAGGTACACACACCAGTCGCTATGGTTCCTAAGCAAAAATTCCACGTAAATGAAAGTTTTTTTCAAGAATTATAAAAATAATACGACATCGTGAGAACCAGGAGTCATAAAAAAGCGGACTGGGAATATGGTGTACATTGTACAAGGGAAAAAATTACCCATAAAAGGCACATCAACCAGCTAAAAAGGAGTACCGAAGAATCGGAAGAAACTCCGCAAGAAGATGAATTATACGAACTATATGATACTTTTAATTTACAAGTACCACAGACAGAGCAAAAACAGCGCAGATCTGGTAGAAAGCGAAAAGAGACGCAACAATTTATAATGGACCCGAAAAGGAAAAAATATTGAAAAAA